AAAATAAAATTACGATGTTAAATATGAAAACATAAAATATATAATATATATAAAATAAATACTATATAAATATAAATATATTAAAACATATGTAAATAAAATTAGATATGGATAAAATATATATTTGAATAATTGAATCGAATAGGTTCTTTTTAAGATTTTGTTTAATTAATATAAACAAAAAAAAATAAATTTAATTAAATATCGGAATTATCTTAAATGTATAAATTTTGTAATCAAACATAGACAAAGAAATCAAATACTGGAAGAAGAATATAGAATAAAAATTAAAAAATCAAAAAATCACCTTCAGTGCTTGTAATCTTCTTTTGAATTGAATCGGTAATGTTGAAAATGACAGTAAAATGGTAAAGAATTCCTTGTCCCTGGAACAAAAAAATTCATTGAATGTTAAATCTATTCTATATTTTGTTTGTGCTATTAATTTTGTCTTAAAAATAATTTATATTACTTTTAAATGTATATACATTACTGGTATCACAATCGTATATGATAAGATTTTATTAAGATTGTTATTTCTTAACAATGTGTATTATATGTGATTAATTTCAATATTAATAAAATATTAATAAATATTAATTGGTTTTAAGATGATCAATATGAATAGAACTTCTCCAAATATTTTAATAACAGGTTAAATAAACAAACAGTATCTTTTTAAAATAATAATAATTGTTTTTGTATTTAAAAATCAAATTATTTGTAATCAATTTTATTTTTAGGTACACCTGGAGTAGGAAAAAGTTTAATGTCTCGTATTTTATCTGAAAAAACTGGATTAGCCTGGATTGATGTTAGCAAGTTTGCTATTGAAAAAGAATGTTTAGAGGAATATGATGAAGTGTATCAATGTCCTATTTTAGATGAGGATAAGGTAATTCATAAAAAAATTTTAATTTTCATATAAAAATATTATCTTGTATAATTATATAATATTATTATATTAATATATTATATTTTCTAATTGCAGTTATTGGATGAAATGGAAACCCTTATGTGTGAAGGTGGAAAAATTGTTGATTATCATGGAGCTGATTTTTTTCCAGAAAGATGGTTTGATATTGTTTTTGTATTAAGAACAGACAATACTATTTTATATGATCGTTTAAGAGACAGGGGCTATACAGGAAAAAAGTTAGAAGATAATATAGATTGTGAAATATTTCAAACCATTCTTGAAGAGGCAAGATTAGCTTACAGAGAAGAAATAGTTCATGAACTGACAAGTAATAATCTAAATCAAATAACAGAAAATGTAAATAGAATATGTCAATGGATTGAAATGTGGAAAATAGATAATCAAGAATAAATTAATTTTATGAGTTTTAATATCTTGTCTTTATCGTGATTATGTTTTTATTATATATATATATTTTTTAATAAAGATATAGGATTTATTTAAAGAATATAAATATTAAAAAAAGAAAAATATATTAATATAATTAAAATATTAATTGATATATAAAGAAAGTTTTATCAGAAATATAATAAAATGTTTAAATTTGTAAATATTATAAAAATATATTACAACATACTTTTTACATTAATAATATATATTTATATAAAATTAAACATATATTATAATAATTATATTAATTATATATTAAATTACAATTATATTACAATTTTACTAATATTAAAATTATATTTATTCTATTATACCTAAATCATATTTTAATTTTTTTAATCTATTATTTATACTATCATAATATTTCATTTGTATAAGAAGAGATTCTGCTTTCTTAATATCTTTCTGTTCAAATGCAGCTGCTACATTCCTATATAAAAACATATTTATTAATTATATATATATTATTGATAAGACTAAGCATAAAGTTTTAAATAGAAAAAATATTACATTATTAAAGTATTTAATATAGTCTCATTCTCTTGTATTAGTTTTTTTATTTTTTCTTCATTATTTGCAGCATCTTCTATTTCTTCATTCTTTTCCATAATTTCCATTAAAAATTCTGCATTCACATTATCTGTTCCTTCTGATATTGTTATACCATTTAATTCTAACATATATAATCCTCTTTTTAGAGGATGTAATAATGTACTATAAGCTTTATTTACTAATGATGATAAAATCTCAGAAAATTGCTTTTCTTTCTAAAAAAAATAAAACAAATTAATAAAATTAATAATGTATTTATAATATTATACTTAAATTATACTTACCTCAGATTTGTTACTAAATTTATCAGGATGTAACAATTTTTGCAGTTCTTTATATTTTTTTTGAATTTCCGTAACATTAACATCGTAAATTTTTGGAATATCTATTATATCAAAATAAGTTAAATTTTCAGGTGGTTTTTGTAAAACTTTACATTTAGAGCAAAATAAATCAGATTTATATGTAAAATTACAATTCCAACATTTTAATGGACTATCACTTGAATATTTTGAAATGTTCGTTAAAGTTAACGAAGAAATATAATTTTTATCTATATAATACGAATATAGATTTTCTTGTTGTTGTATAAAATTTAAATATAAAACATTATATCTTTTTATAAGATTAAAAAAATTTTTTCTCAAATACATATTTTCAATACAAAATTATCATAACCTTATTGTTTATTAATTTGAAAATAAATTGATGATAGATTCTTAAATTTTCTATTAATAACACAAAATTATTAAATATTATTTAATATTATTTAATATTATTTAATTTTATTATTTATTAATTAATGCATATATAAAAGAATGTGATCTATTTAATAGATCGTAAAATATTACGTATCATGCTATATGTATAGTTCGTGATTCTTATTGTCAGTAAGAAAATCTATATATTTTTTCAATTAAAATTTCATTTATATATTGAAAAATAGACGCAAACATGCCGACGTATGAAATGCCATTATTATTACGATTAGCAAACAAGGTATTGTAATCTTTGTATTTTAAAACATTTAATTCAAACATTTTATAGATTTGTTAACCTAAATATAAATATTTTATATTATTGATAACATAATAATAAACTATCAAAATAATAATTGATCAGATATTAATTATCAATGAATAATATTTCTAGGCAGAATATGTAACTATTTTAAAAGATGTAGCAAAGTCAATATTTGAAACAGGTGGATTTATTAGAAAGATTGAAAATTGGGGTATTAAACAACTTCCATGTAAAACAAATATTCATAATGCTACTCATACACATGCAAAGTAGATATTTATCATTATATTATTTATTTTTTTATATATTTATATAATATATATTAATCAGATAATTATTATGCAATTATTATTTTCAGCCATTTCATGTTTTGTTTTGATTCGCCACCATCTCAAATTATTAAGATTCAAGAAGATTGTAGAAGAAACAGAAGTATAATTAGAGTACGGATATATACACAAAATGTGCCATCTGAAAATGTAAAATGCACATTTGAAGAAGAAATGTTACCTCCAGCTTATAGGTATTTTTTAATTTTAATAACATTCATAATAAGTTCTCATTTCTAATATATATTTTTATTTATTTTAGACCTAATGTTCAAAAACTTTTGGAACAAGCTAAGAAACACAAGCGTTATCAGACTAAATTCAAATATAATTCTGGTCTTGATTATTATCCTTTCATGAGATGAAAGAATTATTTGTTCATAAAAGCTTAGATAAAAGTAAACAAAATAAAAATTGATAAGAGAAAAAATCATTTATTTATGTCTTTTTAAGTCATTTATTAACTCATATTATCATTACATTATGAAAAATTATTTTTATAATCATCAAAAAATATTTGTACAAAATACTTAATATAATAATATATCATTTATCATTATACAATAACTATAATAGTTATCGTCTTACGCGCAACGAATCTTTTAAAGTATAATTTGGTTACACTGTAACTCGTAAAGGGTTTTATAATAACAGTGACAAAGCCACAGCTCTGTTTCATAATTTATCTGTCATATTTAACAAATATATAGTCATATTATCCAATTGTGTTTAGTAGCACAACATATTTTTTTTTGTTTATATTTGCAAATAAATTGTTTTTTTGTTAAAGAATCTTTATAATACATTAATAATGTATATATTATGTTTTAAAGTATATATCGAATTTTTAGAATAGACATAACTTTATATGTAACTTTGAGATTGCTTATTTCTTTAAAAAGGAAGTACAAAAATTTTTATGTTGTACTTTTCTATCTTTTTGTTTAAATACATAGAAAATCATCTATGCGCAAAAATGAGTTTTGTGCACCATTTAGAATTAATCATTTGGACCACGATAAGAAATATTGTTGTACAACAAAATTTTTTCCGTAAGTCTAGTATATCATAAAGATAAAATTAGAGACAAGAGTGAAACTGGAATTTTTGTGAATGGCATTTAGACGAATAGATTTACATATGTCTAGTGTTCCCGAAATTAATGCCACTCTGATTAGCACCTTTATTACTGCCATATTGTAAACTAATTACACCCTGTCCAGCCCTTAATTGTTCTTCAGTAAAATTACGTATATTTTTGTCCGCTTCTTTTGGTCCGATGCTTGGTTTGCCATAATTACCCGCCTACAAATGAAAATAATTAATATATATATATTAATTATTTAAAATTATAAACAGATAATCTTCAAAAATTAATTTTTTATAAGTGACAATTAAAACTAATGAAGAACTTTTTTATATAAAAATATTTTCATAATTAATATTTTCATATTTTCTCAATCATTGTATACTAATTTTACTTCTAACTTAAATAACATCAATATAGATAAAACGTTGAAGTCAAAGGAATTTATGTAAAAGGAAAGTTTTGAATGGTTGTTATAGTAAAT